CAGTATGAAGTTTTTAAACATAAGAAGCCACAGATCGATCATCTCCGGATTTTTGGATGTATTGGTTTTGAAAAGATAGATAAGCCACATCTAAAGAAGTTAGATGACAGGTCGCGAATGTTGGTTCATCTTGGAATAGAAGCAGGATCGAAAGCATACAGTTTGCTTGATCCTATAACACGAAAGATAGTGGTAAGCAGGGATGTCGTATTCGACGAGGCAAAAGGATGGAACTGGAGTCATAAGAACCTTGTTGCCTTAGGAGATTTCAGTGTTACTCTTGGTGAGTTTGGAAATCGCAGAATACAAGAAGAGCGAGACAAGGATACTGAAGCAGAGCAATCCATCAAGAGTAATTCTGGAAGTCTGGATGAAGCAGATAACACTGGTGATCTCGAGATGTCACCAGAACTTGAGCACGAACACTCGCAAGCTGTGTCTGTTCGAAGAAGTCCAGAAAAACAGAGTATCGGAAAACAGAGCATAGCACGAAACCCAGAAATACAGAATGCAGAAAAACAGCGCACAGCCAGAAATACAGAAAACCAGAGTGGAGAAAAACAGAGCATGGCTGCAGCAGCTAGCAAATAGAGCGTGGCACCAGCACCTCTCCGACGTACAGAAAGAGAGAGTACATTACCGACTTATCTACATGATTATGTACTACTCGCAGAAAAAGAGGGAGAGATGCCGTTAATGTGTCTAAACAATGAACCGAGGAACTTTCATGAAGCTAAAGGATCTTGAGAATGGACTCTAGCATGCGAAGATGATATTCACTCTATCGAAAAGAACCACATGGAACCTTGCGGATTTACAAAATGGTGCAAAAGCAATCGGACTGAAGTGGGTTTTCAATCTTAAACGAAATTCGGATGGTAGTATAAATAAGTACAAGGCACGATTGGTCGCAAAAGGGTATGTGCAACAGTATGGAGTTGATTTCGAGGAGGTCTTCGTTCCAGTTGCTCGAATAGAAACAATATGACTTCTTATTAACCTTGCAACATCTAACGGCTAGGAGATACATCACCTTGATGTAAAAATGGCATTCTTACATGGTGAGCTCAAGGAAACCATTTATGTTGTGCAACCAGAGGGTTTCAAAGTGAAAGGACAAGAGAGCAAGGTCTACAAACTTAACAAGGCTTTGTACGGACTGCGACAGGCGCCAAGAGCTTGGAACAATAAGCTGAATCAGATTCTTATGGGGTTTCGGTTTAAGAAGTGTTAAAAAGAGCCCTCGGTGTATCGAAAAGAAGAAAAGGGAAACCTCCTTATCATAGCAGTTTATGTAGATGACTTGCTCGTTACAGGAACAAATTCAAGCATTATTGACGGATTCAAGGAAGAGATGGCTTCCAAGTTTGAGATGATCAATCTTGGAAGATTAACATATTATCTTGGGATTGAGGTTTGCCAAAACAATGGCGGCATGGTGTTGAGTCAGAAACGATATGCTCAGAAAATATTGGAAGAAGGTGGAATGAAAGACTGCATTCCAGTTGATATAACAATGGAGTCCGGACTGAAACTGGCCAAGTCAGAAGATGAAAGGGAGATCGATGCCACTTGGTTCAGAAGAAACGTTGGATGTCTTCGCTATCTACTTCATACAAGACCAGATTTAGCGTATAGTGTTGAAGTGTTAAGTAGATATATGCAGAGTCCTAAAGAGTCTCATGGTGTCTCCATGAAGCAATGCTTAAGGTATTTACAAGGCACCACTACACTTGGCTTGAAGATCGAACGATCACACTCGGAGATGCCAAAGATTATGGGCTATAGTGACAGTAGTCATAATGTTGATCCAGATGATGGGAAGAGCACGACATGACATATTTTCTATCTTGGTGGAAGTCCAATCACGTGGTGTTCACATAAGCAGGAAACCGTGACTCTATCCTCATGTGAAGCTGAGTTTATGGCAGCTACAGAAGCCGCAAGACAAGCGATATGGCTCTAAGATCTGCTTAGTGAAGTTACCAGAGTGTTGTGCGAAAAGGTGATCATTCGAATTGATAACAAATCGGCAATTGCCCTCACAAAGAATTCGGTGTTTCACGGTAGAAGAAAACACATTCATACACGGTATCACTTCATACGTGAATATGTTGAAAACGGCCAAATTGAAGTTGAGCACATTCTTGGGAATCAGCAGAAGGCGGATATTTTAACAAACGCACTTAGTAGGGTCAAGTTCAAAGAGATGAGAAACCTCATTGGCATTCAAGACCTGGAGCAAATCGATTTCAAGCTAAAGGGGGAGATTGTTGAACTAAGCTTCAAAGAAGCTTGAGAAACAAGACTTCCTAATCCTACCAAGTTATGGATACCTAAAGTGATTAGGATTAGAGGATACCTTTAGGAGTTATCTAATGTATTCTCTGATAGGATTAGGAGTTCTGATTGTTGGCTATATAAGGAGATGTCAAGTTGTGACATAAATTATTAGAGATTGAGAGTTTAAGGTTTTGAGTTATTTTCCTTAAGCTAATAAGAGAGTTATTCTTATTGATCTTTGAGTTCTTTGAGTTCTTTAGTTCTTGTTACAAAACAATAACATCGGCATCAAAGTTCTCAGCCATATAGAAGTCCCCTCCTCTGATTCCACATCCAAAGAACTTTCTGGTCGGGTTTCAGACACAACATATCCACAAATTCCTTTGTTATCTCTATATCAAAGGTCATAATAAGAGAACAAAGTATCATAAGCAGAAGAAAAGATAGCTTCACTTGATTCACTTGCTTCATAAATTCACTTGATTCACTTGATCGAAACTGGAATCTTCAATCGAATTGGACTTAATCGTTTGCTTTTCGCCATCTTCATCCTCATCGATCTTCAGAGAGTTCACAATGGATCTGGCTAACCATGCCATTTTTCCTGGATCTCTCAGAAGCGTAATCTCAATCGCGATCTTAATCAAACACCATTGACGCCAGAAGGATAAAGAAGAGATAAGATTTAGAAATGATTGATTATAGAGAGAAACAATTGATTTATCGATGGCAGAGAAGAAAGAAAAAAATCAATTCAGAAATCTGCAAAGAAAGAGGTGAAAAAAACCGACAAAGAAGAAGAGAGATGTTTTTTGTCTATTTTTTATAAAAAAAATAATTATTTTGAACTTTAAAGTCTTTTCAAAAAACATCTTTAGGTGTGAATTTTTGAATTATTGTTTATAAGTAAAAGTGGATGTAAACTATTTTCAAAAAAAATTGTTTGATTTTGAATATAGTGGATATAATTTAGTTTTCATAAATTGATAATTGAATAATATAAATTTTTTAATGATTTTAGTTAATTTTATGTTTAATATTTTAATTTTGGTAAGAGACATTTAGAAATCACTAATTCAATAACAGGAAAGTTGATTTTGTTTTGTAAAATATGGAAAAATTACAAAACAACTTATTATATATTAAAAAAATTATAAAATTATAAAGAAAAAACAATTAGGATCTTAACAAAAAATTATATTTTTTTAAATTAAATATATATATTCTAAGACTATATCAAGATTCACAATTCAATAAATGTCATAAATCTTCTATAAATAGAAAATAGATCCAAATGAAATTTGAATATGAAATGCTATCAAATATATTTAGAGAAAATTACATAGGAAGGCACTTTGCCAAACCTTATTAATAAATTAAGGCACTTCACAATATGAAAGCACTTACATCAAGTAAAATGACAATTTTATCTTTTTTAATATTTTTAAATCTAATTACAAATCAATTCTACGTTCTTTTGTAAAACAAATCGGACTATCTTAACAACCTAACAATCATCTCTTTCGAATCCCTAACACCTGATTTTGCTATTCTCTCTTCTGTAATTCAAAACTTCTGATCAATTTCGATTCATCTTTATCGATTGTAAAATCACAAATCGCCCAATTCTTTTCACTTCTGCTTAACCACCAAAAACTTCTTACCCAGAACACCAAATCGAAGAAGAAGAAGAAACCAATTCATGTCCACGGTATCGCATCCACGACCTCATATCCACAGTATCGCATCCACGGTCTTATGTTCCGCATTCACGGTATCGCATCCATGATCTCATGTCCACAGTATCGCATCCACGCCTTATGTTCACGGTATTGCATCCACGCCTCATGTTTCACCAATTCTATGTACATATGGATGTGAATGGATGGATACATATCCATAGTTATAGTGTGGATAGCAAAACTTTGAAAAAGAACATCCACAACAAACATTTAAAGTGAATACAAATATGTTATATGTACATGTGGATGGAGGCGGATGGATACATAGCGTGGATGACAAAACTTTGAAAAAGGACGTCCACGACAAACATCTAAAGTGAAAGCAAATATGTTATTTGTACATGTTGATGAAAGCGAATGGATACATGTGTATAATTGTATTGTAGATAGCAAAACTTCGAAAAAGAACGTCCACGATAAACGTATAAAGTGGATGTAAATATAACATATGTATTTATGGATGGAAAGGATGGATGCTTATTCACAATTATATGATGGATGACAAAATTTCAAATTTTATAATCGATTTTCATTCATTTTTCATTAAAGATATAATCGACCATTCAAGTCCACATATACACTACAAAGTGCCTCATCCCTAGTAAATGTCTTATTTTGTAAGAAGTTTTGGCAAAATACCTTATTTCGTAAATCTCTCATATATTTAATATAGATAACTAATAGAAAACAAATTATTGCTAAAATTATTGAAAATTATTAAAATATACAATATAAATATATATTAGTAAATTTTTTTAAAAAAAAATTATGTGAATTAGTGATGGTTTTAATAATTTAAAGTTAATAACAAAAATTATAATTTAGACAAAATTAATAATATAAACCTGCGCTAACCTTATACCTAGGTTTTAATAAATCTGAAGGCTTTTTTTTTTTCAAAAAAAAGGAAAATCTCATCTAGTAATTAATTAATGACTGAGAAAAATGGAAAGTTAAAAAAACTTTTGTTGAGTTAATATACACAACCTTCCCATTTCTCTTTCTCCGTCAGCGCTGTCTTCCCTTCGTTATTAGTTTTCGCACTTGATCGCCTCCGTCGTTCGCTCCTCCCTTCCGGCATCGGATAATTGTCGGCAATTTCAATTTGATCATTAAATTAAATCGAATTTCTCCCACAAACTATTAATCCAATGGATGATTATTTGAGCGGCGAGGAGGAAGATTACTATTACTCCTCCGATCAGGAATCTCTCGACGGGCTTGATAACGAAGAATCCAATTTGCAACATGTTTCCTCCAGAGCCAATACCGCTAAGGTATGCACTTAATTCGCCCGATTGTGGTATATCTCCTTCTTAATCTTCTCCTTCTGTGTTAATTTTCGCCTTTCATTTGCAAAATTCTTGAGCTATTACGTGAATTTGGATCACTTAGTTCAAATCTCGGTTGAATGAAATCAGTTCTTGTATCACTGTTTCATCCCAATTTTCTCACTTTCTCGTGTTTACGATTATGAAACCTGGAATTTACCGGGCATATGGTATGTGAATCTTCTCTTAAGCTCAAAATTAGGGTTCTCCTTCTCTAAAGGATGTGGGAACTATACTGTAGAAATTGAGCTGAGTTACTAGCTGAGTTACTGAAATTTCATTTCTCAAATGCTTCGAATTTGATTGGCGTGACTGGCGTCACTACTTCAATTACAATAAGCTTTTCATGTTCACAAGTATGACATGACAAAGCCCTGAGCTTGCTTTTGCTAACTGTTTATCAGCAATTTTTGTAGGTCATTACGAAGGAATCCCTTCTGGCTGCACAGGTGAAAAGAGAAAAAAGATTCTCCAATGATTCTTAATTGATCATATGGTTTCAGTTTGAAGGCTTAAAACTTTGTTTTTATTATCAATGCAGAGGGAGGATTTGCGAAGAGTGATGGAGTTGCTATCGCTTAAGGAGCACCATGCTCGGACTCTTCTTATCCATTACCGATGGGACGTGGAGAAGTTGTTTGCTGTTCTTGTTGAGAAAGGGAGAGATAGCTTGTTCTCTGGCGCTGGTCTTACGATTCTTGATCATCAGCGTCGTGATTCTTCCTTCTCTCTTTCGTCGATGACGAGCTGTGATATCTGCGTAGAGGATGTGCCGGTTCATCAGACGACAAGAATGGACTGTGGCCATTGTTTCTGCAATAACTGTGAGTCCCATGTGTTTTTTTGGTTGTTGAGTTTATACAGTGCAACAGAAGCTTAGTTTTCTGAGTATATGTTCTCTTTGCTTTAAGGTTGGGCTGGGCATTTTACTGTAAAGATAAATGAAGGTCAGAGCAAAAGGATTAGATGCATGGCTTATAAATGCAATGCTATCTGCGATGAAGACGTTGTCAGGACTCTAGTTAGTAAAAGCCAACCAGATTTAGCCGAGAAGTTTGATCGTTTTCTCATTGAGTCGTACATAGAAGACAACAAAATGGTGAAGTGGTGCCCGAGCACTCCGCATTGCGGGAACGCGATACGTGTTGAGGACGACGAGCTCTGTGAGGTCGAGTGCTCCTGCGGCTTTCAGTTCTGTTTCAGCTGCTCGTACCAAGCTCACTCCCCTTGCTCCTGTTTGATGTGGGAGCTATGGAGGAAAAAATGCCACGACGAGTCCGAGACGGTTAACTGGATAACGGTTCACACAAAACCGTGTCCCAAATGTTACAAACCTGTCGAAAAGAATGGCGGATGCAACCTCGTGACTTGTATCTGTGGACAATCTTTCTGGTGAGAAATTGCTACCTTGTGGTTTGTGTAGTGAACGTGTTTCAGTTGGTGATGAGTCTCTTGTGTGGTTGTTACTTTGTGTGCAGTTGGTTATGTGGTGCAGCTACGGGAAAGGATCACACTTGGTCTAGAATCTCGGGTCATAGTTGTGGTAGGTACCAAGAAGACAAAGAGAAGCAGATGGAGAGAGCGAAAAGGGATCTTTACCGGTATATGCATTACCATAACCGTTACAAAGCACATATCGATTCCTCGAAGCTAGAGGATAAACTCAGCGATACCATCCTCGAGAAAGTGTCGATCTCGGAGAAGAGGCAGTTACAGCTCAAAGACTTCAGCTGGGTCACCAACGGACTCCACAGGCTATTCAGATCAAGACGAGTGCTTTCGTATTCGTACCCATTCGCGTTCTACATGTTTGGAGATGAGTTGTTCAAAGATGAGATGAGCTCAGAGGAGAGAGAGATAAAGCAAAACCTGTTCGAGGATCAGCAGCAGCAGCTTGAAGCTAACGTAGAGAAACTCTCAAAGTTCTTGGAAGAGCCATTTGATCAGTTCCCTGATGATAAAGTCATGCAGATAAGGATCCAAGTCATCAATTTGTCAGTCGCAGTCGATACCCTCTGCAAGAAAATGTTAGAACTTGTTCTTGATTACCTGAACAGATAATCAAAATAGTGCGAAAAAATGTATAAACATGTTTGTTTTTTTTTTTTTTTGCAGGTTTGAATGCATTGAAAACGACTTGCTGGGTTCTCTGCAACTTGGCATCCACAACATTGCTCCATACAAATCGAATGGGATCGAACGAGCATCGGACTTTTATAGTTCTAATGGTGACATCTGTCATCAACCTTCGAATTGTGGTAATGCTCTCTTTCGTCATTTGAAACTTTTGTTATATTATTCACAAAAAGCAAATTGTCTTATTAGAGTGTTACTAACTTCTTTTATAAGGATGGAACTCAGAAGAAACAACAAGTTGCTCGTCCAAGAAACGTCCAAGATTAGAAGGAAGTTACAGAAATAGCCAAACCACAACAACATTACTGGATTTAAACTTGCCTGCGGAAGTGATGGAGAGGAAATGAATTAATGATAACTCATCTATATCAAGAACACACCATTATTTTTTGTCTGAATGTACAGCTCTTAACCCGAATCTTGTCTACTTAATATCTATTTTTCTTTCACTAGCGTGAAACTCTTTCGAGTTCAGGCTGCTTACAGATTTTAAATCGGTTTCGGATTTAACATAGTAATCTTTTTGGAGTCTTATGTAAATTGCTTTGAAGTTGCCTTTGATCCAGGCTTCTCTCAATGCCTCAAGGTGTAAATTGTTTTAGCTCTTAATGAATCATTCCTAATTTATGTTTAAAACATATTTTTTTTACGCAAAGACATTATTTTTTCAAATAAATAATATTAACATGTTTCAATTGTCGTCGACGTATACATAGTATCTTTTTATTTATTATTTATTATGTAGAATGAAAGTTTTTTTTGTCATCTTTGTGTTAAAATCCAAAATTGGCTTCTACTTAGCAATTTCCCTTTTGTTCTTTTTCTTTTCCTAAATTGTTGAAATACAATTAAAAAAATGTTGAATTATTGTGGCCGTTGATTAAAACCGGGAAAGAAGCAGCAGAAAGAAATCTGAAAATCTGAAATCTGATGTATTAGCCAACCAGAATCACTCGACGACTCCAAATCAAACTTGTCTCTTCCCTTCACTAACTTACAAAAACCCTAACCCTAATTTTCTGTAGCCCCAGTTTTTCCTCGAGTCTTTTTCTCAATCGGTGAAGATGGAAGACGAAGAAGGGATCGGGTTAATTTTAGCCAGAGCCACCGAGCTGAGACTCAAGATCAGCGATTGTATCGATAGCTCCAGCACCGCCGTCAGCGAAGACGGTGGCGGCGAAAACGAGGGTTCTCCTCTGGGAGAAGGAAAGAAAGATGAGATTATTGGGAAACAAGAGAAGGATTTTGACTCAATCAGCTCTAGCGATGTAGAGGAGGAAGAAGCTGAGCGGCTTTTGCGTATACGTGATGCTCTTGAATCGCTCGAGTCTCAGCTTGCTGCTTTACAGGTTCGAAAACCCTAGATTTCACCTGCTTCTATGGTTTTATTTCATTTTCTTCTTACGCTATTGATCTATTTGTGATTGTTCTGTAGATTCTCCTGAAGATGTTTTCGTCAGTTTCTGTAGTTAAGAATTTAAAGCTTATGGCTTTTAGTGTAGCATTGAGCATACATAGTGTTAATTCTGTTGTTTCAATTGAAATTGAGTTTGAATTGCTTCGATTTTAGTTCGAAACTGATGATTGTAGTTATGAAAATCAAAACAGAGTTTCAACATTGAAAGTTTTAGCTATGCTTTTAGCTGAAATTGAGTCTGAATTGCTTCAATTTTAGTCGAGATTCTCTGAAATTCTATAAATCTGCTGTTGGTTTCATTGTTTTAATCCTCAGTTAATGTGGAAATGATTTCTGGTAAAAAGATCTCTCTCTCATGGTATTGGTTTTCTTGTAATAGTTGTAGTTATGAAAATGGATTTTCTAGCTTTTAGTGCAGCAATAAACATTCCAATACCGACAGCAGCTCCCCAAAAGAGATGGTGAATGAGGAAATGAATACCGAATGTTAATATTCTGTTGTTTCAATTGAAACTGAGTTTGAATTGCTTCGAGTTTAGTTTAAAATTGATGATTGTAGTGATGGAAATCAAAACAGAGTTTCAGCATTGAAAGTTTTAGCTCTGCTTTTAGCTGAAATGGAGTCTGAATTGCTTCAATTTTAGTCGAGATTCTCTAAAATTCTTCAAGTACGCTGTTGGTTTCAATGTTTTTGTCCTCAGTTAATGTGGAAAATGATTTCTGGTAATAAGATCTCTCTCTTGTAATAACCAGAATCTACGGCAAAGACAACAATACGAGAAGCAAGTAGCTCTCTCTGAGATTGATTACAGCAGGAAGATGCTTCTTGAGAAGCTCAATGAGTACAAAGGGAAAGAATTCGAAGTACTACGCGAAGCTTCGACTTTTGCCGGCGAAAGAGTCGATTACGAAAACGATCTTCTTCTTCCTCCTTACCCTGTTCATCCACCTCTCTCCCTCGGTTTAGATAACAATGGATACTTACCTCACTTACCGTCGAAGCAGATGAAATCAGACGCAAATGGGTTTGGTTCAGGACATGTGAGGAACGAGACTGAGGCGAAGAAAAGTCCCGATGGAGAATCTGGAGGCTCGAACCATGGAGTCATCCGCTTCTTAGGCTCTGTTGCAAAGATCATGCTTCCTATCATCGGTGTGATTTCTGTATTGTCTGCTTCTGGATATGGTCCTGAGATCAGGAAAAGAGGCGCGTCGTTGAAACTTCTCCGGTTTCTCCCGGAGAGAGTAGTCGGAGGGAAGAAAACGCCGAACCAATGCCCGCCGGGGAAAGTTCTGGTCTTTGAAGACGGTGAAGCACGGTGTCTTGTGAAGGAAAGAGTTGAAATACCCTTTGACTCTGTCGTTGCGAAACGCGATGTAACTTACGGATACGGTTGATTCTTCTCTGTAATCTTCATTTCCCTCCTGAATTGTGTGTAAAGTTTCAACCTTTTTATCTCTTTAGATGTGAAGCTACATAACTCCAAAAGTTTTGTTCTTGTTTGTGCTTATCAGCAAATAATCTTAGAAGAGAGAGAGAGAGAGAGAGATTATCCATTTGCAGTAGTATGTGTTCAAATGGATTCAATGTATCACAACTCTCACCACTTGTGTGTGGTAGGCAAATATATAAATTAGTAATTTAATGAGATAAAGCTTTTTTAATGAGTTTTGACCAACAATTGGTCAAAAAAGTGTAACCCATCCATTAGAATTTAGAAACTATGTTCCATTACAGTAAACTAGCACATGGTTTCAATTTTTTAACCAGACAACTTTATCTTGAACTTGATTAACAAGAACTGTCTCTTGGATAACACAAAAGGGTCATTATCAAAACCTATATATATACAGAACACAAATCCTAATTGGAGTAACAACACAGTTTCTTTTAAAGAAAATATTTGTCTATTAAATATCATTCAGGTTCTGAAATATATGGAGAGTGAAGGAAAGATTGTGTTTACAGAAGAGCAAGAGGCTCTTGTAGTGAAATCATGGGGTGTCATGAAGAAAAACTCAGCTGAATTGGGTCTCAAACTCTTCCTCAAGTAAGCCTTAATGATCTCATTGATTCTCTCTATCTGTATTTGAGATATGAACAAATTTTAAACTGTAGGATCTTTGAGATTGCACCAACAACTAAGAAGATGTTCTCTTTTCTAAGAGACTCACCGATTCCTGCTGAGAAAAACCCAAAGCTCAAGCCTCATGCCATGTCTGTTTTTGTCATGGTAACTTAATCAATTTTAAGAAACCTCAATACTTGATTTCTTGATTCTTTCTTTAATTTCTGTAACTAATGTTTTGGAGTTTTGGGTTGATCAGTGTTGTGAATCAGCAGTACAACTGAGAAAAACAGGGAAAGTTACAGTGAAAGAGACAACTTTGAAGAGACTTGGAGCCAATCATTCTAAATACGGCGTCGTTGATGAACACTTTGAGGTTAGCCTTAGCCATATCTTAAAAAATGTTATGTAGTAATAATTTTAATTCATTTTTTTTTTATAAACCAAAGTAACATGATAGAATTAATTTTCAGGTGACCAAGTATGCATTGTTGGAGACCATAAAGGAGGCTGTGCCGGAGATGTGGTCACCGGAGATGAAGGCTGCTTGGGGTCAAGCTTATGATCACCTTGTTGCCGCCATAAAAGCTGAAATGAAGTCTTTCCCTTAATATATATCAATATATAATAACCAAAAAATGTATACTTTGTAGTCAAATTTAAATATGAGTTGTCATGATTTGTCCAGTTTGGTTTGGTTTTGATAATAATAATACAGTATGAATTTTGAAGATCCACAAACTCGTAGCCCAAACCCACATTACAAAAAAATGTTAATCATTACATGTGGTCTTTCGATCATATATGAGTGAACGATTATTTTAATGTAATCTCTGTTACTTGCAACATGAGTTATTATAAACTTATTTATGGTTTCAGGGTTACTTTTGAACTTTTGGATATGTTTATGAAAGGATGATCTAATGTTTGGTACTTTAGCATGTTTTTTGAATGAAATTTTTTTTTGTTGACATATGTGCTGTCTAGTTATTATTATCAGTCAATCAGAGTTTGGATATAGTGAACAACTTACATGTGTGTGTTGCCTTTGTATATACAAGGAGACATTGAGAGAGAAGTTATGGTTATTATATGATTGTTGGTTAAAGAGAAAATTCTAGAGAAAAAGAGAGAGTCAAAACATTTTTTAAGACAAAAGAACTTGGAGGATTCAACCGGAAAGGCATTTGAACAATGACACAATTTCTGTATGTGGTCTCTTCTCCAATCTATTCGTTGATTTCTAGATCAGATCCAATCCATGTTCATGTCTAAATCGGGACTAAAATATGTGTTTGGTTAAAAGCTTCTGACTAAAACTCTTACAATGATGATCATTTACATTGGATGGAATTCCATTAAGACACATAATCTAAACTATTGAACAAAAGGTTATCTATCTTTGTTCTCTTTACTTGGACTAATCATACAAAGAGCAATTGTTGCTGATGAGATGGTCTTAAGTGCAAAATCGTACAAGCAGGAAGGTTATCGAGCTTTACGTGGGTTAACTATATTTCAAAGAGACTTCTTGTGAGGACCCGACTGACTATCACTAGACCGGCCCGAATTTCACCGAGTCATCTTTCGGCCAGAATACAAAACATACATATTTTAAATTTTTTTTTTAAATTTAAACAAGTTCGATTCATCAAAAGACATCCATTCTCATTGCATAATTATTCTAGAAACACTTAACAAAATTCAGATTCAATAACATAAACTAAACTTATTAGATTCGGTTTAACTCAGAAAGCACTAACACAAGTACTTAAACAGACACTCAAACTCAGAACATGAATCCCAAAACCCAATCCTAATCTACCCCTTTCCTTCACTGCCTTCCAGTCCGCCTTCAGAGCTACTCGCCCTGAACCTTATCCTTACATGCACACTCAAAAAGAGAGGCATAAGTACTTGATAAATATTTAGTGAATACGGTCATCCCGTAACACCTTAGCCAGTATCAGAAAACGCATCATACTATCAGTTTTTCAATTCACATTATCACTTAGCAAGCAAGTATAGAAAACAGTACGATCCTATGATCATCTCAACTACTTGTGAAGCCTCACAAAGCATCGGTTCTACTCCAAGCGAGAATCACACATCCCCTTGAGCTAGTAACTCGATCCGGACATTCACACAGCTAATTAGACACCATGTATTGACCACGGTTCACCCTTAACCATTCACAATCACATAAACATTGACCTTGCTAAGCAGAAACCATTAACTTACACAAGCAATCAATGAAAATCAGATAACCTAGCAATCAAACGATTCTAGATACAGAGCACAGTCACGCACTCACCTTAGACATGGAAACAAACGTTTCAGTCGAATAAATCTCGGTGATTTCTCGATCAGAAACTAAGATAGTCGGACACACTTGCGATTTCTCGGCTATCGCTCAGACTGGTCTTGCAAAATCTCAACACCTCTCGGCTATCTCTCTTCCCGTGCATTTTTTTCTCGGGCAAGAATCTGTATTCCCTCGGAAACAGTACAATTCAGATCGATCAGTCCAGTGTTACTCGACAGAAACTCAACAAAAATCAGAATAGCTGAACACTTACCAGATTCTCTCGGACGAATCAAAGTGTTCTCGGATATCTCACGATCCACTCAGAAATCCTCGGATAAACTCGGTGATTCCTCCAGAAAACCCCCAAATCAGAGCGAATGGTCGAATCAGATTGACAGAAACACAGACAGAACACTTGATCTCTCGGTGATAGTCGGAATCGTCGGCGAAACTTCGATCTCTCTCGGCTAACTCTTGGGATAATCAGAATCTCTCGGATAATCTCTCGACTAATCTCTCTCTCTCTCTCTCTCTCTCTCTCTCACGCTCTTTTGCTCTCAAAAAGTGCGGCTCCCCCGAGAAAAGTCAGAGAAATCCACTTTTATACTCGTAAAACCTAGATACCCCGGTTATAGCCGGCGTCTCTCGGTTCCAGTCAGGTTTATTCTGGTTAGCTTTAAGTTCTCTCGGCTATCGCCTAAACCACTCGACCATCCACACGAGAAATTAGTTTTCATCCGACGAAACTCTCAGCCCACGAGCCCAGCCCATTGTTACTCGGCTAAAACCAAACTGCCTCGGCTATTTTTCTTTTCCCTCGGACATAGTCCACTTTCTCTCAGACAGAACCATTTTTCTCTCGGATATGGTCCGTCCTGCTCGGCCAGCCCGGCCATCCTTCGACTATTTCCCAGTCATCCATCGACTATAGTCTGAACCTCCCATCCATACGGATTTTCCCCTTGACTGAACTCACATTCCTTCAGACAACCTCCTGTCCGGCTCGATCATTCCAGATTTTCTCGGATACGGATGCTACAACTCTCCCCCCTTGGTTTGGATTCGTCCTCGAATCCGGTTCTTCTTCCTGAAGTTTCTCAAACCATTTCGGAAACCTTGTACTTATTTTAGACTCTACTTCCCAAGTAGTTTGCTCATCCCCATTACAGTCCCAGACAACTCGGATCATCTTGATCCTCATACCACGCCTAAGCTTTTCTTTCCGATCAACCACTCGGATCGGTCTACCTTTCACGGTCAGATCCTCTTGCAATTCCGAAGGTGGTTCAGATATCACAGTCTCACGTTCGGTTATGTGCTTTCTCAGCTGCGACACGTGAAACACATTGTGGTAATGATATGATCATGGAAGACATTGGTGAGCTTACGGCCGAGGAAGAACAAGATCTAAGCAAGCATGAAGCTGATGATGTTCTAGAGGTTCAAGAAGGTTCCATGACCCGTTCAAAGGCTAAGGCATTTCATAATGCCTTAGAAGTATTGCTTAGTCGGTCCATTCATGAAGCATATGATAATAAATAGGCTATAAATACTACTTTGGTATGCATAATAGCCGATGACTAGTTAAAGGGGTTTGTAGAAGCATTTTGTGCTCTTTTTCCCTTAGTGAGTTTTGTCCCATTGGGTTTTCTCACTAAGGTTTTTAATGAGGCAAGTGTTTGTACAATATCATTGCCCATTAACTTGTCATTTGTCCAAGCCCACTTCTTTCTACCATTTGTGGCTTGGAGTGTCTAGGTTCATTTTCTTTCCTTAGTTGTTTTCTTAGTCTTGTATTTTGTGTAATTTGAACCGAGTCATGCATGATTAGTCAAGGGGGTTTGTCCCAAGACTAACTTATTGCTTTCTTGTTGTCCGTTCTCCTCCCTCTCTCTTCTTTCTCCTTATAACCGTGTGTTTGGTTGTATTTGGTTTTTCATCTATCTTTTTAATAAAAATCGCTTTGAGAGTAGATCAACCTCTCTTGGTGTGTAATATCCACGAGAAACCCTACTTAAAATCATAGGTGTGTCATATTCTTTGTGTTCTAGTAGTTTGTATCAAGAGCCATCCACACCTCTTGCTACATTCCATCCTCACTCTTCCCCCTTTGCCATCACATACGGTTCATTTCTTATCAAAACGATCAAAACCTCTCATCATCACGGATCAGTACGTTCATCACTTGGTTTGAAAGGTCAAGATCATAAGAGGGATCATATCAAGTGGTATCAGAGCAAACCTTCAAAGCTAAGTGTTCTGATCCGATCTGTTTCATTATTTTGTCGATTTAACTTTTGTCTCTTCATCTACTCCCGAAAACAATTTTAAAAACTTTGTTCATCACGGATCTAGTCATTAGTATTTCGCAAAATATTTTTAAAAATAGTTTAGAATTTTTATAAATTCTAAATCTATCAAAAACTATTTACTGCGATTTGTTCCTTAATTTTCAAAAACCATTGCCGGAGATGAAGATGATCCGGAGAGTCAGATGGGAAGAAGCCAGAGAATATTGATTGAGGCCCTCACAACCGAGTTAAAGAAGATGTTACACTCGGAGGTGGAAAAGATCAGACAGGACTTTGAGCAAAGGGAACCGGTCAATAAGCGTCCAGGAAAAGAGACTATGAGAGAAAATGTTCAAGAGGATCAGGCCAGCAGACATCAGACAGATCAGTATTACAAGAGCAGTGGTTCTTCAAGGAGTGGTCGGAGAAGTTCTAGACAGGGCAGAGATAGAGCACAAGACAACTTGGCCGGGCTAAAATTGAAGATTCCCTCCTTCCATGGCAAGTGTGATCCGGATGCTTACCTTGAATGGGAGAAGAATATAGAACTTGTTTTCAACGTCCAGCACTATACAGAAGAGAACTGAGTTAAGGTGGCAGCAACAGAATTCTATGATTATGCCTTGAGTTGGTGGGATCAGCTTATCACAACTAGGAGGTGCAAACAAGAGTATCCGGTTACTACATAGAATGAAATGAGAAACTTGATGAGGAAGCGATTTGTGCCGAGCCATTACCACTGGGAACTTCATCAGAGGCTTAGGAGGTTGACACAAGGCAATGGAGACACTCATGATTAGGGCGGACATCTTGGAGAATAGGGAAGCTACGATGGCTAGGTTCCTCAGAGGACTTAACCGCGAGATTCAGGACCGCCTAGAGACACAACACTATGTTGACCTGGAAGAAATGCTTCATAAAGCAGTGTTGTTTGAGCAGCAAGTTAAAAGAAAAGGGTCTTACCGTTCGGGTCCTGGTACCGGACCAAACAGCCGAGCAGCTTACCCGCGGGACGACAAGAGCACGTACCGGACAGCCTATCCGCAGGACGATAAGATTCACCCGAAGGACAGTAAGCCGTTCACCCA